TCAGGCCCCCGTTCCCTCCCTCCCTCCGTGAAAGCAAGGGCAGACAATCGTTTCGCGCCTTTTTTCCTGAGTTACCTGTGCAGACGCCATACCACGGCAAGCATGGAGCCCGCTCAGGTAACCGTCACCCTATGTCTCCTGGGTGCTGGCAGATGTGGTACGGCTTTGCTACACAGTAGCAGCAACCCATTGCCTTCTGGCAGCAGACGGTGCAATACGACTGGTAGTCGTCCTCGTCGTGTCCGAGGTGCTCCTGGCCACGTCGGCTGGGAGCGCCTCGGCAGACATGGGCGCAGGGACTAAATTTGAAGTGACTTGACCAGGTCATTCTCTTTAGTCCTGCAGTCAGTCCTATTGAACCGTCTTATGGTGAGCGGGCAGGCGATACGGACAGCTAGCAGTCGTACTGTACCATCTTCTGCCAGGCAGGCAAGAGATGAGGATGGCTAGCAGTCGTATTGCACCATCTTCTGCCGAGCAGCCATGAGATGTGGATGGCATGCAGTCCTTCTGCACCGTCTGCTGCCAGCCAAAGATGTAAAAGATAGATGGAGTGGGTCAAAACAAGAAATAGACCAGATTTGTTTTGTACTCATTTGCCTCCTCCCCTGTCTAGGGGACTCATTCCTCTAGGTCACACTGCAGTCACTCACAGAGAAGGTGCAGCGAGGTAAATCTAGCCATGTATCAATCAGAGGCCAGGCTAACCTCCTTGTTCCAATAAGAACGATAACTTAGGTGCACCATTTCTTATTGGAACCCTCCATGAAGTCCTGCCTGAAATACTCCTTGATGTAAAGACACCCCCTTTGTTGATTTTAGCTCCCTGAAGCCAACCCTGTAAGCCGTGTCGTCAGTCGCCCCTCCCTCCGTCAGAGCAACGGCAGACAATCGTTCCGCGCCTTTTTTCTGTGCGGACGCCATACCAAGGCAAGCATGGAGGCCGCTCAGCTCACTTTGGCAATTAGGAGCACATTAAACACCACACGCATTATCCAGCAGTGTATGCAGCACCGAAACCTGGCAAAGCAATACCGGGCGAGGAGGCGACATCAGCGCGGTCACGTGAGTGATCAGGACATGGACACAGATTTCTCTGAAAGCATGGGCCCTGCCAATGCATGCATCATGGTGCTAATGGGGCAGGTTCATGCTGTGGAACGCCGATTCTGGGCTCGGGAAACAAGCACAGACTGGTGGGACTGCATAGTGTTGCAGGTCTGGGACGATTCCCAGTGGCTGCGAAACTTTCGCATGCGTAAGGGCACTTTCATGGAACTTAGTGACTTGCTTTCCCCTGCCCTGAGGCGCATGAATACCAAGATGAGAGCAGCCCTCACAGTTGAGAAGCGAGTGGCGATAGCCCTGTGGAAGCTTGCAATGCCAGACAGCTACTGGTCAGTTGGGAATCAATTTGGAGTGGGCAAATCTACTGTGGGGGCTGCTGTGATGCAAGTAGCCCACACAATCAAAGATCTGCTGATATCAAGGGTAGTGACCCTGGGAAATGTGCAGGTCATAGTGGATGGCTTTGCTGCAATGGGATTCCCTAACTGTGGTGGGGCCATAGACGGAACCCATATCCCTACCTTGGCACCGGAGCACCAAGCCGCCGAGTACATAAACCGCAAGGCGTACTTTTCGATAGTGCTGCAAGCTCTGGTGGATCACAAGGGACGTTTCACCAACATCAACGTGGGATGGCCGGGAAAGGTGCATGATGCTCGCATCTTCAGGAACTCTGGTCTGTTTCAAAAGCTGCAGGAAGGGACTTTATTCCCAGACCAGAAAATAACTGTTGGGGATGTTGAAATGCCTATATGTATCCTTGGGGACCCAGCCTACCCCTTAATGCCATGGCTCATGAAGCCGTACACAGGCAGCCTGGACAGTAGTCAGGAGCTGTTCAACTACAGGCTGAGCAAGTGCAGAATGGTGGTAGAATGTGCATTTGGACGTTTAAAGGCGCGCTGGCGCAGTTTACTGACTCGCTTAGACCTCAGCAAAACCAATATTCCCACTGTTATTACTGCTTGCTGTGTGCTCCACAATATCTGTGAGAGTAAGGGGGAGACGTTTATGGCGGGGTGGGAGGTTGAGGCAAATCGCCTGGCTGCTGGTTACGCGCAGCCAGACACCAGGGCAGTTAGAAGAGCACAGGAGGGCGCGGTACGCATCAGAGAAGCTTTGAAAACCAGTTTCATGACTGGCCAGGCTACGGTGTGAAAGTTCTGTTTGTTTCTCCTTGATGAAACCCCCCGCCCCTTGGTTCACTCTACTTCCCTGTAAGCTAACCACCCGCCCCTCCTCCCTTCAATCACCGCTTGCAGAGGCAATAAAGTCATTGTTGCTTCACATTCATGCATTCTTTATTCATTCATCACACAAATAGGGGGATGACTACCAAGGTAGCCCAGGAGGGGTGGTGGAGGAGGGAAGGAAAATGCCACACAGCACTTTAAGCACAGCACTTTAAAAGTTTACAACTTTAAAATTTATTGAATGACAGCCTTCTTTTTTTTGGGCAATCCTCTGTGGTGGAGTGGCTGGTTGGCCGGAGGCCCCCCCACCGCGTTCTTGGGTGTCTGGGTGTGGAGGCTATGGAACTTGGGGAGGAGGGCGGTTGGTTACAGAGGGGCTGCAGTGGCAGTCTGTGCTCCAGCTGCCTTTGCTGCAGCTCAACCATACACTGGAGCATACTGGTTTGGTCCTGCAGCAGCCTCAGCATTGAATCCTGCCTCCTCTCATCACGCTGCTGCCACATTTGAGCTTCGGCCCTGTCTTCAGCCCGCCATTTACTCTCTTCAGCCCGCCACTTACTCTCTTCAGCCCGCCACCTCTCCTCCCGGTCATTTTGTGCTTTCCTGCACTCTGACATTATTTGCCTCCACGCATTCGTCTGTGCTCTGTCAATGTGGGAGAACAGCATGAGCTCGGAGAACATTTCATCGTGAGTGCGTTTTTTTTCTTTCTAAGCTTCACTAGCCTCTGGGAAGGAGAAGATCCTGTGATCATTGAAACACATGCAGCTGGTGGAGAAAAAAAGGGACAGCGGTATTTAAAAAGACACATTTTATAAAACAGTGGCTACACTCTTTCAGGGTAAACCTTGCTGTTAACATTACATACATAGCACATGTGCTTTCGTTACAAGGTCGCATTTTGCCTCCCCCCACCGCATGACTACCCCCTCAACCTTTCCCCCTCCCTGTGGCTAACAGCGGGGAACATTTCTGTTTAGCCACAGGCAAACAGCCCAGCAGGAATGGGCTCCTCTGAGTGTCCCCTGAAGAAAAGCACTCTATTTCAACCAGGTGACCATGAATTATATCTCACTCTCCTGAGGATAACACAGAGAGATAAAGAACGGATGTTGTTTGAATGCCAGCAAACATACACTGCAATGCTTTGTTCTACAATGATTCCCGAGTACGTGTTACTGGCCTGGAGTGGTAAAGTGTCCTACCATGGTGGACAGAATAAGGCTGCCCTCCCCAGAAACCTTTTGCAAAGGCTTTGGGAGTACATCCAAGGGAGCCGCAAATGCCAGGGCAAATTAATCATTAAACATGCTTGCTTTTAAACCATGTATAGTATTTTAAAAGGTACACTCACCAGAGGTCCCTTCTCCGCCTGCTGGGTCCAGGAGGCAGCCTTGGGTGGGTTCGGGGGGTACTGGCTCCAGGTCCAGGGTGAGAAACAGTTCCTGGCTGTCGGGAAAACCGGTTTCTCCGCTTGCTTGCTGTGAGCTATCTACAACCTCATCATCATCATCATCATCATCATCTTCTTCTTCGTCCCCAAAACCTGCTTCCATATTGCCTCCATCTCCATTGAAGGAGTCAAACAACACGGCTGGGGTAGTGGTGGCTGAACCCCCTAAAATGGCATGCAGCTCATCATAGAAGCGGCATGTTTGGGACTCTGACCCAGAGCGGCCGTTCGCCTCTCTGGTTTTCTGGTAGGCTTGCCTCAGCTCCTTCAGTTTCACGCGGCACTGCTTCGGGTCCCTGTTATGGCCTCTGTCCTTCATGCCCTGGGAGATTTTGACAAAGGTTTTGGCATTTCGAAAACTGGAACGGAGTTCTGATAGCACGGATTCCTCTCCCCAAACAGCGATCAGATCCCGTACCTCCCGTTCGGTCCATGCTGGAGCTCTTTTGCGATTCTGGGACTCCATCATGGTCACCTGTGCTGATGAGCTCTGCATGGTCACCTGCAGCTTGCCACGCTGGCCAAACAGGAAATGAGATTCAAAAGTGCGTGGTTCTTTTCCTGTCTACCTGGCCAGTGCATCTGAGTTGAGAGTGCTGTCCAGAGCGGTCACAATGGAGCACTCTGGGATAGCTCCCGGAGGCCAATACCATCGAATTGTGTCCACAGTACCCCAAATTCGAGCCGGCAACGTCGATTTAAGCGCTAATCCACTTGTCAGGGGTGGAGTAATGAAATCGATTTTAAGAGCCCTTTAAGTCGAAATAAAGGGCTTCATTGTGTGGACGGGTGCAGATTTACATCGATTTAACGCTGCTAAATTCGACCTAAAGTCCTAGTGTAGACCAGGGTTAAACCTGCTCTGTGGATAGAGAGATAAGCACAGCCTCCATCAGGGGAAAGCTTGATGGAAGAGGGTTGCTGGGGGAGTTCTCTGTGACTGTGGGTCTTTTTCCGGTCCCTTGTCCATGCATCCATCGGGGCTGAGTTTGTCTGGGTCACATTCACTGACACGATGGACTCCTTCTGAGAACAGTGGCTACTCACTAGGGTTCTCTACAGTGTCCACTTCTGGTTCACTTGTTTTGACCTAATTACTTGCTTTCCCCATCTCTGTTTGTTCTTCCCCCCGCCCCCCACAGAGTTAATTTCAGGGTCCTGTGGCCCTGCCCTCATTTGAACAGGCAGCCTTTCATTATTCTGGTGGGCTCCACCCACCATTCCCAGGATTTAAATAGGTCAACACCTGTCAGCATTGAACACACATGCACACTGAAAAAACAAAAAACTGTCATGTGACAATTTAATTATGCAAAACAAAGTCTCTTTAACAAGCAATTTATGCTCAGCTTTTGATTCTAATTACTTTTCTAAATTCAGCAATAAAAATCTTTTTCTGCAGCTCCTTCTTGCAGTTTCACCAACCTCACACCTTAAAGCCATTCTAAGATTTCTATGCAGCAAAGCAGGAATTGCTCCAGTTGTCACCATACCAGCTTCACAAAGGGTACAGCACAGGGCTGCCGAGTTTCACAAGGTATCTGTAGTGCAAAGGTGCAAACAGTAGTTTGGCTCTCCATAACAATACATGGCTAGACATCATTTCGCTTTGATGCTTGCTGCAACACATCCAGCTATACATTATGCTGTTCCAGGAGCATGAGATTTGTACATCACTGCACATATCTATGGCTTTAAATGAAGCATATTATTTCAGATATTCAGTCTTTACATGGCCCTTGAGAGGCTGCAGCAGTTTAGTGGGTGATTGAAATATAGCTGGTCAGAAAATTCCACTGAAAATAAAATGTTGGTAGAAAACAGAAATAAAATTTCACTAAATCTCCCTCCCCCTTCATTTTTCAGACAGCTGTAGACTGAATACCCTTTCCTTTTAATCTCTCTGATAGGCATGTGTATGGCATCTGCTATACATATTCCAGGTTTCTGAGACTGAAGAATACTCTAAATTTGTCAGGGGAAAGCAGGTTTACCTGTCCATTGGTTAATGAAGCACAGGAGTAGGAGCCAGGAAATTTGGGTTCTATTCTAGACTCTGGTACAGACTTGCTCTGTGACCATGGTCAAGTCATAACTTCTCTTTGCCTTAGTTTGCCCATTAGAAAAAATAATATAATGATATTACTTATCTACCTCACAAAGTTGCTGTGAGATTTAGGGACATCCAAGAAAATTAATCCAAATTAACTAAAAGTGTGAATTTGAAGTGGATTAGTTAAAATGCATAAAACTGCTTTGTGAACACCCACATTTGGAATTAAAGCAGCCTTAATTTGTTTTAGTTTAGTTTATTCACTTTGGAAATGAATTAAACTGAATTAAGGCCATTTTAATTCTGAATGAGGGGGTTCACGTCGCAATTTAACTAATCCACTTCAAATTCACACGTTTAAATTAATTCAGATTAATTTTCCTGCATGTCATTGCGTACACAAGCCCTTATTCATTTGTGCACTTTGAGATTCTCAGATGGAAGGGTCTATAGCAATGTCAAGTATTAACATTATACTGGTCCATTGCTGCAGCAATAACTGTTAATAGAGAGCACGATCAATTCCATTGCTATTTAAACATATGTCTATACTGCAGTCACAGGATATAAATGCAATTTGATTGGACATACCCGAGCTAGCTTTAATCTAACAAGCAGTACAGCTGCAGCAGCATGTGCTTCAGCACAGACTGTATAAACCTGCCAAAATCCCTGGGTAATGATTTGCAGGGCTACTCCATGCTGAAGTGCAGGCTCCTGAGGCATCACTGCTCCAGTACCCAAACTACCTAGATTAAACCTAACGCAGGTATGTCTACCCAAGTTGCATTTCCATCCTGGTGCTGTAGTACAGACATTCCCAAAAAAACAATGTATCATGTTTACACTACAAGTGACTGATCTGCATTGGACTCAGTTGAATCACAGGTGGCAGTTTGGGTGACTTGAATACTTGCAGTGTGTTGCTCAACAGCACACACAGTTAAGCCTTGTGCCCTCTGAAAGAAAACTGGATTCAAAATGTATTTGTTTAAACAAGTTAACTGAAATGTCAGAGGCTACTTCGCCTCCTGCATATGCAGACATATTTTCCCCTCCTCTATCACACATCAGAAGACAGAGTTTACCAATGCTGAGTCACAATGGGAATATTTGTACAGCAAAACACATGTGACTGAAGAGAGAAGACTGACGTCCACATTTTTTCCTCTCTCCTCCCACCCCATCTCTCCCCCAATACTAAGAGGTAAAGTAGAATAAGCCTTGCACAATTCTGGCTTGAAAAGCATTCAGGAAGGTATGCAGACATCCCCACGTACAGTCTGACCCCTTCTGTTTGTTCACAGAACTCAAACATGACTACTGATAGGAAATCAGATGTCTGGATAAACCCTACTCTAGTTCAATGGCTTCTTGTTATGTCAGTGCTGGATATAGGGTGACCAAATGTCCCGATTTTATAGGGACAGACCCAATATTTGGGTTTTTTTCTTATATAGGCTCCTATTACCCCCCCACCCTCTGTCCCGATTTTTCACACTTGCTATCTGGTCACCCTAGCTGGATATGAGAATCCAAAACCAATGTGGAACCATTAAATGTACCCTTCCAAGGATGGTCTGTGGTTAAGGGACAGGACTAGCAATCAGGAGATCTTGGCTCTACTCCAAGCTCTGCCGTGGACTTCCTGTGAAAGTGTGGGAAAGTCACTTGGGCATTTCCTCTGCTGTAAAATGTGGATAATACCAATACTTAGTCCAAGGGAGCTAGGAGGCAAATTAATTCGGGTTCAAAGAGCACTCTGAGAGCCTCAGACAGAAGGTACTATGGAAGTACAAAGTGTGTAATAGCTGTAGGCTAATGCTCACAGTACAGTATTTTTTTTTAATTTTAACTGAAATAAAAGGGCACCCATTCCCAGTTCCAGGGGCCCTTGGTAAATCTTTTAAAAAATAGTAAACAAGTAAGAAAATTACCAGCACAGAAAAAAAAACCAGCCAGAAAGGCAAACCTTCATAAAATACTATCCCATGCTCTCCCCTAAATACCAGGCCTTAATTCCATTCCCTGCTCCTTAGAAGCCTGAGCAAAGATACGGCTTTTGCAGCATGTCCTGCAAGTCAAGAGATTCAGGATATTTCTTTTGTAAGAAGGGCAGTGAGTTCCAAAGTTGAGTGCCCCTCACAGAAAAATCCTGCCAATAGCTCCCTCCTACATAAACAGAAGTGGATCCAGTTCAGGCACCTTCAGTGATCACTACCTATGGCCACAGGTGCTGGAATTAGAGTGCAGTGGGTGCTGCCACCCCCCTGGATTGAAATGGTTTCCATCATATACAGGGTTTAGTTTTGTTCAATGACTCTCAGTACCCCCACTATACACATAGTATGCCTGCCTATGACAGAATCACATGGCAGAGATGTAGGCTGAAGTTCTGGCTCCAATGAAGGCAGGTCCCAGGCATTTTAAGGTTGTTGTTTTTAGGTAAACACCAACACCTTTAAACTCCACCCAGAACTCAACAGACAGCCAATGGAGATGCCACAGCACTAGTGTCATATGCTCAGCAGGCAGGTAGCTGCACTCCGCTCCAGCTGCAGCTTCCAGTGAACTACCGGGTAGCCCGATGTGAAGTGCATGGCAATAATTTAATCTCAGGGTCATAAAGGCCTGGATGACGTTTCCATGATCTGCATCCAGAAGAAGAGGTTACAACACCTTAGCGAAGCACAAATGTCAGTTCTTCAGGGCAGGGGCTTTGAATGTGTGGTTGTTCGGCACCCAGCACAACAGGCCTCTGATCCTGATTGGGCCTCTGGGCACTGATATAATACGAATACAAAACAATGATCATAAGATTCAATAAATGGCCCTGGCTGCCACTGCCTGATCATCTAACAGCAGCTGGGCCCCTCAACTGCAAACCTGAATGACAACTTGTGGGTGGGAGAGGCCATAATCCACACCACATCTTCCAGGCACTTTCCCCGATTCAGCAGAAGCATCTCAGTCTTCTCTAGAGTAACCTTCACCAAGCTAGGTCTCCTCTATCTGAGGTACTTACATGGCCCTCCATCACTGTAGTATCTGCGTGCGTCACAGTCTTTAATGTATTTATCCTCCCAAACAATGTTCTAATTTTTAACAGGCCGTGTGCGCAAAAAAATAATAATAAAAAAAGCCATCGTCGAAGGCGGAGTGCGCGCGGTGCTTCGCCGTGTGCGCGGTGTTTAAGGTCTGTGCGCACATGCACAGCTTAGTGGGAACAGTGCTCCCAACACTCCCGTGAGGGAGGGATTTATCCCCGTTTTACAGAGAGGCTAGGTGATGGTGGTGAAGGAAACTGAGCCCAGATCTCTCAAGTCCGAGGCAAGTGCCCTAACCACAGGACCATCCTTCTTCTCATCCATGCCTCAATCGCCTTCAGATACTGGGCAAGACACTTGACCATTCCAGATGGGTGGGGAGAGGAGACACAAAGCTGGTTATCATCATGCTGAAAGTACCAAAACTCGTGTCTCCTAATTAACTCATCTCACAGCCTTAGATACATATTAAGCAAGAGGGATGGCAAGATGGTCCCTCATTTTTAGGTCCCTCATCCGGGCTGCCCATCGGTTGGGAAGAACAACCGTCCAAAGCCACCTTCTGGGATCCTTCAGACAGAAAGGGACAGGACTAACTAAGGGTACGTCTACACTTGGTGCTGGAGGTGTAAATTCCAGCTTGAAGAGATTTATCTGTGCTAGCTCTCACTGACATTGCATAGTCACTGCAGTGTGAGTGGCAGGAGGGACTAGCCGCCCTGTGGCCATACCCCTCTGAGGCACTCAGGAAGTATTCAAGCAGCTAACTTCTCCTGCCGCAGCTACTCTCCTATTTTTAGCAAGCTAGCTCAATCAGAGCTAACGCAGTTATGTCCCCTCACACTTGAAATTACAAGTCCAGTGTAGACATACTATAAGAATGAACCCATTAATCCCAAGGTCTACAGGTGGATTACCAGCACGTAACGATCAGCAGGATTGAAAGCAGCTCTAAGGGTTAACAATATCGGCATAGACACCAGATTGTCATATGTCACCAGGAGTATTTGCTCTTCCAGTTCACAGCTATTTCCTAGCGTCTGAGCTCAAAGAACTGAACGTCTACTGACGTGCCATGTATGACGAACTAACCAGGCACTGAAAGTAGTGAAAATTGCTGACAGGGAAAGAAACAGAGATATCACTATCTGAACAGTATGTAAAGAAAAACAACAAAAGGTCAGATTTTCCAAAGAGCTCAACATCCATTAGTTCCTAGTGTTCGCAGTGGAAGAACTGATCTCTTTAGAAAGTCTGGCTATAAGCAAACAATCCTCTCCATGACCTGGCTCTATCATACTGCAAAAGAGAGAAAATCCTTCACTGCATTAGAGTTGCCTAAACTCAAATTCTGTGGTCCTTAAGTAAAATGCCTACTGAAGCCAATGGGAATTTTGCTCAATTAAAGATTGCAGCATTTTACCCAAAGTCCTTAGCATATTGCAAAAGTGGAACTCTCAGTGCACGCACTGCATGTATAGGATGCCAATATTGTTGGAGTCCATTAGGACAGAAAAATATATGCAAGGCCAGTATTACTGCTCTGACATGCCTTCAAGGCATTATGGAAACAACTGTAGAGCTGTGAACAGCCTACGTACTTCATGTACATTGAGAACGAATGGGTGCTGGAAATGGGTCCTCTAGAAAGTAGTTTGATCAAAAAATGCCTCTCTTCTCAACCCACTAATCATTT